CAGGTCGGGGTTACTTCAGCTCTTGGTCCTCGAATAATCATCAAGTCTGCGCGATGGAGAGGGATGTTTAACTTGTGACGTTACAGCGGACCACTGAACCTTCCGCGGGCAACCGGGTAAGTAGGGTAACACACGGGGGACAGCTGCTGGGAGAACCTCTGGGCACCGTCATCGTGTCCTCACGGCCCTGCACAATTCAGATAACAGGCTCATTCGGCGCTATCAAACCTAGACACTACATCAATCATCTACACAGAATTTGCCAAATATTAGTAGTGAGATTGCTCACGGGGGTGGCCTATGCGGCAAAATTTTCCTTCGCCGCGAGTGGGAGTGTTTGTCTTCTGTCACATGCGTCATTCCTCCCCTGCATGTAGAGCACACGCTCTCTTCTCTGCCCCGTTCTGTGGCCCCCTCAGGCGCAAACCCAATGTAACCTTGCCCAGAGACACGACGACGACCACAAGGCAGCGAGATGTAAGCCAAAGTAATTCGACGATGGAGAGAGGAATCACGAGGCCGTCCTTCTTAACATGATCACGTCAAGAATAAGAAGCTAAACCGGCGTCGTCCGTTGCTTCACCCCATCACCGGCCGTCCAGCTCCACCCCGGGACATTCTCTAGCTTTAATTACTTAGTCGTGTGCTCTCCTCAGCTCCCGCGATGCCGTTGGCGCCAGGGGTGGTGGCCGAAGGGCCGTTCAAAGGGTTCCCCATAAAAGTCACGCCACTGTTCCCCATCGGCCTTGAATCATCCCTCCTTTCTCGGGGGCTCTCCCTCCAACGCCCACTTCCTATTTGCTGCGCCAGCAACGCCCAAAGGACCTACTGCACCCTCTTGACTCTCGCTCTGTTTACGGCAGCGCGCAGGAAAACAACGTGGGTTGCCGAGCCTCTGCTGCAGACAGGTGACAGCTCGCTCTGGCTGGGTCACCTCACCCCGCGCGCTGCCCGAGGTAGAGTACAAGACGAAAATTGGCAGGAATTCGGGCACCTCTGCACCCCACGTAAGAAGTCGTATCCGAACAGCTGTATGGCTGGGCTCTCTGTTGCCTTTGTACAACAGCAGACAGAGACACTTGTATCCCCAGTCCGAGCGGCCTCGAAAGCCTTCGGGGTCCCACTTTGCCGCCGGGCCGCTGTCGGTGAGGTAATCGGCTGGGGGACTTCCTAAATAGGTCTTTCAGGTATCATCCCCGGGTTCCCTCTTCGTGAATAATTTCTACGCCTTTCCTTGTCGTAATCCTCCTTCCCTCTCTCCAACCCGTAATTTTCCTTTCTCCCTCTTTCCCTCCTACACACCTCTCTCAATAGAACGTTTCTCTCTCTACCGCTTTCCTTTTCTACGTTTCCTTCTGCGACAGACCGACTGCGTATAGACCAGGTTTCAGAACACCAAATACACTACACGTCAAAGGTGAGTTTCCGGCACGACGCATTCTCGCATTCGGCTTTCCGTTCGGGCCAAGATGCCCCGCGATCTTTCCCGGCGCTGACTTCTATTTCTTTCCAGAATCCGACGATCTCGAAAAATACACAATAAACAATACACATCAGAAATACACATAAAGAACACATAAGAAAACCGCCAAAATGGTCCTCATCACCCGCGCCATCTCCCTCACCAACTTCCTCGTCGCCTCCTCCGCGCTCGGCTTCCAGGTCTTCGTCCTGTACCCCTGGCACGAGCAGCTCTCCCACGACTTCGAGGAGCTCAAGAAGGAGCACCTGCGCGTTCTCGACTACGTCAAGGGCGTCGACGCCGGCTTGAGGAGAGGACAGGGCGGTGCGCCCGCCGGACAGTCTCTCCTGGAGCGTCTGGGCTACAAGTCGTAAGCACAGAGCGCGACTGTAGCCCACGTTCTAGAATCTCGTCCCCTTTTTTTTCCTCATCCCCTTTTTCGTGGGGTATTTTTTTGGGTCGGTCGGTCTGTCTTGTTACAACTTGGTCTTCGTTTGTACGATTGCATGCGATACTCCCGAAATGCGAATTTAAAAAGAGTTTATACCCCCAAATGCAGCCTGTCGCCGTGCTTGTACCGTGTTGTCCGTTGTTTGTCGTCGCATGTTGTTTTATGATTGGAGGATTGAAGTTCTAGGCAATGATTATTTCGAAGCTTGTCAATCTGTCCACCCATAGCTTTCAACCTGGTGTTACTCCGACCACCAATTCCTCGATTGCCGGCACCGACTTCGCCCGTCGCCCATCTCCAGTTCCACGACGGCGCCGATCAAATATCTCATAATCGTACAGGAGATGCTGTCTTTGCCATAATTGGGTAGCCGATCAGGGGTACGATGACCGTGTCGAACTCGGTCGGCCATAGGCTTGAGTCCGAGATCGTTAATCTTCTGCTACTTCACCCTAGATTGACTATTTCCGACTGGAGGGACGACCCCTCGACTTGTGTCTAAAATGCTTCCCCGCCTAGCCAAAGAATATGTTGTCTCAATCGCTCAAAAACATCCTGTGCTGCTGAAGACGTAGGCAGAGCATTCGGCATCTTCTCGGCAACGCCGGCAAGTGGAAAGCCTACTCCACCTCCTCCAGGTGTTCGCCGGAGCTCGCTCCGACTCGGACCCGCCCGGGTGCTGGCGAAATCGGGTCGACGCGGGTATTCCCCGAACGAGCTAGTAAACTGCCGGCAACAACTTCCCGTCCCCGGACCCAAGCCTTCGGATGAGGTTTGTTTGGTGTATAAGAGACGTCTATACCTGCCCAGGAGGGAATTTCTGGCAGCCTCGAAACAATGCATCTTATCTAGCATTTGAGGACGGTGCTCGAAGACGAGTATATGCCATGCTCCTGGGCGAAATTCTCATAAATGCTTCACGTGCACGCACTGCATGGCAAGTGTGAGTGAACAACGCAAATGTAGCAGACAATTCCATATTCAGTAGATCGCGTTCCATAGAAATGCATCTTTCTCTGAAGAATCCATGCAAATCCACATCGAAAGGGGTATCTCAAACTTCAAATCCCAAGTCCAACGCTGGCGAAACACCACACATGAAATATGTGGTCGCTGCAACCCCCTCACAAACTTCCGTCGCACTCCTCTCACGTATTCCAACTCGTAGCATTTCGACTGCAACCGATGGTTCATTTTCTAAACGAGTGACGAAAGTCGAAAAAGGCTGTCCCATACGCTCAGGCGTAGCTCTCAGGCTCCGCAGGCCAGGTGCAGATCCAGGCAACGCCGAAAATCAGCAGCCACATAATCAGCCAAGTCGCATACCCGCCCCCGCTGCCGAGTCCGAAGAAGCTCCCGACCAGAATCGCGGCGTGGATGAATGCAGTGACGAGTAGGAAAATATCGAAATGCAAGCGCCCCTGTAAGACAAATCGCAATCAGTACGCGCTTGGAGCATTCCCAGACATGGGCCAAGCCGGCACACCCTGCCGGACCAAGCAAAAATCCGCCCAAACAGAGAACCGGGCGAGGGGGCCTCATAACTCACCAGCATGATCCCAAACACCTTTCGCCGCCCCTCCGCCTGCCCGATGACGGCCAGACACCACGCGATGAAGAAGAAGCCCAGCACGGCGAGGATGATGCCGATGATCCAGCTGACGACGCGGCCGGCGATGATGTCGCGCACGATGCTGAGGATGGAGAGCGCGGTGCGGATGCCGAGGATGATGTACATGCAGATGCGGCGCAGCAGGGCCTGCTTGTCGGACGTCTTGAGCGAGTAGGCCTCCCAGGAGAAGGACCAGCAGCCGCGCATGTTGGGGCAGTTGCGGTCTTTGAAGGAGCCGCCTGCGGCCGGGGCAGCGGCGCCGGGTGGGCCGGCGTATTGGGTCATGTTTGGGCCGTTGTTTTTCGAGGACGTCGGGGAGGTGTTTTTGCTGCGAGAGAGGGGAGGAGGCGAAGCAGGGCGAGCTGGCGGTGGTGGGATGGGGTTGGGAAATGGCTTTATATAGGAATGCAGCCAAGCGAGATGGGATTCTTGGTGGAAGAGGGGTGTTTGGTGTTGGACGTGGTGGGTAGGGGCGGAGCTTTGCGAGTTTGGGGTGGAGGAAGGGGATCGCTGTCTCACGACAGGGGAGGCTTGCTAGCCTTCAGGTAGGCACGCAGGATATGGGATCTTGGGGTATTTTTGGCGAGTGCCGATTTTGTTTGTTTCTGCCTGGATGGGCGGGTGCTAGGGGCGACCAGATGTTTGCTACGACCTGTGTGCGAGGCTGGGTATGCATGTTGTCGTTGGTTGGTGAGACGATGAGCAACGCAGCAAGTATTACAGCTGTTGGTTCCGTGTTCAGGGTGGTGTTGGACCAGAGGAACCCTGCATGCTAGACAAAGAGGTTGTTCTGTTGGCAATGAAGATGTAACTCTTGCCGCCAGTTCATACCCATGATCTTCAGAACCCAGGACTTTTTGGACAGACAAAAATAGAAGAGTCCTACGGTTGGTTGGTTGGTTCGAGTTAAGTGAGTGACAAGCAACCCCAATCGTCTGAGGCCCCCGAACAAGCGCCCACACCACCACCAGCTGTGGATGACACCCTCAACCTGTTTAAGCTTAATCTAGCTGAAGCTCCATCGGGCGCCGTTGAACGTTAGCTCGCGCTATTCCCAGGCAACATCAGTGATCTTATGTTCTTGGCTAGCTACATTTGAGTCGCAGACAACGGGCTTCAAAAATTTGCTGTGAAGGCAGCAGCTGTTCTTAGTGTATTGTCGGCAAATGTCATTTTATTTTCAGGGGAGCCTCCGACCCGCTCCCGTCGAGCAATTTCAGCCCTGCATCACTGCGGAGGCGCCCACCAGGCAGCGGCTATCGGCCCCCTCTGTGCACCCTTGGCTGATGATCCTTCGCTTGGGGGCTAAGAAAGCAGACGTCGGATTCAGCCACATCCTCCGCTCCTTCGCAGTAACTTGCAAAACATAGTGTCACAGCTTGGCCAGGGTTATCTTCCAATGGATAGGGTGTATTTTACAATGCTTTAGATACAGATGAGACAAGGCGTGGCATCAGGACCGGCACGCCTTTGCTTCAGCGCCTGGGGCCGGCCCCCGGGACCGGACCGAAGGCGGCTCCCCAGCCGTCGTCCGCCGCTGGTTTCGGCCTCGGTGCCTGCGGCTTGAACGCCCGGGCTGCGGGCTTGGCCTTAGCCATCTTGGCCGCATCAGCCTGTCGAGTCTTCTTCTCAGCCAAGGCGACGTTGCGCTGCCCCCAATCCGCCTTAATCGGGACGGATGGCCTTTTAGCCTTTCCGGACGTCCTTGTCACCGCATTCATCTGCCCGCCGGCCGGTCCGTTGGCTGGCGTCGGTTTCGTCTTCTTTGGGGCCGTCTTTCCGTTCTGTTGAGACTGTGGTACTTTCTTGGCCCCGACAATCCCCGACTTCTTGTCCGCATCCGTTTTTGACGTGTCGGTGGTGGGTTTGGACTGGCGAGTTTGGGCAATAGCTGGTTTCCCGTGGTCTGCCGGAGCAGCCGATACTTCTTTCGGGCTAGAGACATACTTCCGAAACGTTTGATGGATCATCTTCAGCTTCTTCCGCAAAGCCAACGTTCGCTTATCGTTATTGAGCCCGGTAGATATCTGTCGGCGGCGAGCCCGCTGCTTCTCTTTCCAGGCCTCAGGGGTGGCTCGGGGGGGTTTCTTTCCAGCCCAGAACTCCGAGATCAGCTCATCTGGCGCGGTCGGCTCCTGGTCCACCGTTTCGTAAAACAGTATCGTGTTGTTCATATCAGGGCCACGCCTCAGGTGGACGACACAACTTCGAACCCCCCTTCGCTTAACCCGTCTTCGCATCTCTTTCAGCAACGTCGCCATTCTTCGGAGAGCCAGTTGATTGGCGTCCTCCCAATCTCGCAAATAACCCGCGGTTGGCACCACCTCTGCTTCTTCGAATACACCGTAGATTTGGCGGGCGTTGATCATGTGTGTCACGCGGCCAAGCCAGGCCTGTCGGAAGTCCTCTGCCTGCCTCTGCTTCTGCTCTTCTTCTGGTTTAAAACGCGATTGAGTCTTGATCTCGGCCATGCCGTCTCGCGGCGGTTCTGCGTATCCCGCACTCGCCGTTTCAATAACGGTGTCGCCATTATCATAAGTCTTCTTGTAGGTCGTCTTGCCCAGATAACCCGCGTCCTCGCCGCAATAAGCATCAACCTGGGTCTGAACCAGGCAGGTAACGTCGCCAATTTTGTACTTGATGTTACGCAAGTGGTCAGGGGAGTCTTGTAGGCTGGGCGGGAGTACCGTCACGGCCTTTTCGTAGTTCCTGCCAAAACCGGCAATGGGTACAGCTGCGCTGTCTGTACCCTCTGTGGGAGGCCGCATCACATGCAGTGAGCGGCCTACCATGTACAGATTGAGGCGGACGAGTCTCGATTCGGCGTTGGTACAAAAGAAAATAAGGTAGTCCAGGACACTCCTGGTCGCTATTATGTCCACGTCGTCCAACGATATGCGCTTTCCCTGGTAGCGGGCCATGTAACGGGCAGCCAGAAGCATCTGCGTCAAGAGGCTGTTATTCTTTACCACTTTTGGTTGCCGAGTCTGCAGGCCATCAGGAGGCACTGTAGGCGGCGTAGGCGGCGGACTGAACAGAGGCGCACGACCTATGCTTGGTCAGCTATTGACATGATGGTCGGAGGTCAACATCACTACCTGGTACACGTAATAACAACGGCTCTCCGGGTCTTCGGCGGGTATTCCAGTCGCTGACGACCTCATAGTCGGTTTTTGTGACGAACCCGTCAAAAGGCTGAATATTTCTGACCTCGAGGCGAGTGAATGGCCTTGACGACCCACGTGGGTTCTCGGCTTCAATGTCTGCACCAACGATGTCTTTCCAGGTCCTAATGCTATTCCTTCGACGAATATCTTCGGGGGCCGTCTTCACATGCCCTGCTCTGATCCGATTGCTGACTGGTGGCCTCGCCCCTGTGGCTGCAATGAGTTTCCTGCGTGCCCTGAGTTCATTGCGAAGTTCATTGCGAGCCCTGCGTTCCTTGCGGTCCTGACGGGCTTTCTGTGCCGCTCGACTGGAGGCTTTCCTCGCCGCTTTCCTCGCCGCTTCCCTAGCAGCCTTCCGGACGTCTTGCTTGGAGATCTCCTGCCGTGCTTCCGCGGCTTCCTTCCATACATCCGGCGCGGCTATTGCCAGTGCTTCTTCTCTGGCCATCATTTTAGCACGGAAAACCTCGGCTCCCCATTGTCTGATCTCGAAGCGCCTCGTGGCCCAGGCAGGAGCATTCCGTCGGGCGGCCACCCAAGTCACCTTGGCCTTGGTTCTACGAGCCTTCTGCCTTCGCTTGGCTTCTTGGGCTCGGGCTTCATGGTGTGCCATGAACTGCAGGAGTTGTTCCTTCGTGAGCTCCTTCTTCTCGGGCTCCTCGGTCACCACCTTCTGCTCGACCTTGGGCAACGGCGTTCCAACGCGCTGCACGCGCTGCGGCTCCGGTTCCGCCCATGCCTCAGGGCGCCGAGCAAAGGCTGGATGGAGAATCCTGTTTCGACCCGGCGTGAAGGCGAAGCCTCTGGCCGGACGACGCCATCGGAAGACGTTGTGGCCTACATTGACCCGTCGCATCTGGTGTTGTGAGGGGAGAGGGGCCGTCGACTGAGGAGGGAGCCGCTATGGCGGCGCGTGTGAGTGGGTGAGTGGGTGAGAGGGTGAGAGTAAGAGTGAGAATGAGAGGGTGAACATCGGCAAACCGAAACTTTTCCGGTCCTCGGGGTCCAGATGTTCCGGGATACAGGGGTCGCCTTCCCCGACCAATCACAGGTGCCAGGCTGAGGGATCCACTTTGGGTGTATCTTACTAAGCACGTCGGGATGCCCCTGAGAATGCATCACGGCAGAAACAAAAACATCGTCAATGATGTATCTAAACATTCTTTTCCAACGTAAATGCTCCATTTGTTCCAATTGATCTAACAAAAGCGCCAGTATCATTTCCAACCTGAAAATAAAAGCAACCCATGTGGTATATCTAAGCAAAACTCCAGCAAAAACCAACCCACATCCGCCTCCCTCATGAAGAGGGCCTCTTCTCAAGCTCCGTGACACCCGCCTCCTTCTCAGAAATCCCATCGCTCTCGTGCCCTCGCAGCGTGCTGACCTGCGTCTTGCTGAACTTCCTCGCCGACACGCGCTGCTCAAACAGGATATCCAGTTCGGCATACGTCCTGCCGCGCGGCTCCGGCAGGCGGAAGTACGACCACACGAAGCACAGGAAGCAGCTGGCAGCCCAGAAGAAGCCACTCTTGGCGCCCCAGTTCCACGCCGAGGGGTTCAGCATGTTGGGCGTGAGGATGTTGGTGACGATACCCGTGACGTTGTAGAGGTTGCGCGCGAGGACGACCGTCTTGGTCTTGAGACGCGTGGAGCTTAACTCCGCGACGAGAGAGTAGCAGACGGGGCCGACGGTGCAGTCGTAGAAGAAGGTGTACACGAGCAGGAGGCTGCCGATGGCCCACTGCGCGCCGATGTTGGAGCGCCCTGCGAGGGAAGCGAAGCCGATGGTCGCGAGGATGACGGTCATGGCGAGCTGGCCGCCGAGGTAGAGCGTGCGACGGCCGAAGTGCTTCATCAGGACCCACGAAAGGATGGTGCCGACGGCGCCGATGGCGTACTGGCCTAGGGACATGCTGAATGAGTTCTCGACGGCCATGCCGGCTTGCTGGAAGAAGTACGTGGAGAAGCCCATGAAGGTGGCGCCGCAGAGCGTCTGGACGGTCCAGGTGCCGCAGACGATTTCGGTACGGCGGAGGTCGACGCCCTTGAAGCAGTCGGCGTAGGTGGTGCCGGCCTGGACTGCCTTTTCCATCTCGTTGGTGTGCACCATCATGGAGATGGTCTCGTCGGGGTTGAAGTCTTGCTGCGAGTTGCGGGAGGTAAGGCGGAGAAGAGCTGCCTTGGCATCCTCGTGGCGCTCCTTGCGGACGAGCCACCAGGGCGACTCGGGTGCGAAGAAGATGCCAGTGATGAGGGGAATGGGCCACATCCATTGCAGCGCAAAAGGGATGCGGTAGCCCCATTCGTCGGTTCGTTCGACCATGGCACGAAGAACACCACTGGCAATCAGTTGGCCCATGACCCAGCAGAGGTTCACGTAGGTAGTCTGGGAAGAGAGATGTTAGCTTAAGATCACCTTCGTCGCAAACTGAAGAGTAGACATACCAAGTAAGCTCTCAGATGAGTGGGGCAAACTTCAGAAGCATAAGTGACGGTGATGGTCTGGAAAATACCCCACGGCACACCAATAAGAATCTCTCCCACCAGAAGCTGAGGCAGCGACTGCGCAAAGAAGATGATGAAGACGAAAGCCGTCACGCCAAGCAGACCACCGATCATGGTCTTGCGGTAGCCGAACCGCTCAGCAATGATACCGTTGATGAACAGGCCCGAGATCTCGCCGACCAGCGCGCCGTTGCTGAGGCCGGACTGCCAGGCCGAGGTGAGCTGGTACGTGCCGTCGGGCTGGAGCTCGCCGAACTTCTTCTGGAAGACAGGGTAGGCGTAGAGGTTGTTGAGCAGGGTCTTGTCGAAGCCCTCCATGACGACGCAGGTGCTGAAGAAGATGGACCACGCGACGGCCTTGGGGTACAGCTTGATAGACTGCAGGAGACCCATGTTGTGCTCGGCCTCGGTCGCGGCGGCGGCTTCGGAGGCGACTCCGGCCATGTTGGCGCCGCCGCCCATCGAGGCCGGGGGCTTGAGTTCGGCATCGACGGCCTTGGGCGCAGAGGAGGTGAAGCCGACCATTGTGTCAAGTTTGGTGTAATGATGTTCGCGCTGGGCGAAGTAGAAGTGAAGGAAGTTCCGGGCTCGATCTGCTGGAGAGTCGAGCTGGTTGGTATGAATGCGATGGCAAGCTGGATTATGTTCGAGCTTGCTCTGCTTCGATCGCGATGAAGCTGTTGGAGCTGGCTGGATCAATTCGTCGTTTGAGCTGGGACACCCGGTCGTCTTATATCCTCCTGGAATGTAAACCAACCTGCTGCCCGCTGCCAAGGGATAATGGTGATGCTCCCTTCAGGAGGCGACCGGGTTGGTGTTGGAGGTTTTGCGGCCTCTCACTGGCTCGCTCAAATTCATTCGAAGGTGGCGTGGAAGCTGAAGAGGATGTTGACCTCATGGGCCACTTGTGTCTTAAGTTGTTCAATGCAAAAGAAGAAGAAACCCGTCCGGCAGCCCTGCCTGGCACCCTAACCCACGCAAGAGTCCCCGGGCACTAGGACGACGCAACTCCACTTTCTCCACGACCCATTGGCTCGCGCGGGGAAGAAGACGGATGGGCTGGTCTGGGGTTCCGTGTGCTGTAGTATGGGTTGAGCAGGACGGGAAAGACTCGCCGCTTCAGAAGAATGGAGAAAGGGATGTCGTCTGCCGATCCATTGGGTGTTAGAAGGAAGAAAAAATCCCAAGAAGATGGTTGCTCGCACAATGGGGCGCGCCAGCAACCCACTGGAGAAAGGCGAGACATGCATCACAGTTCTGGACTCCACGACCGTGTGGCCGGCGACACCGCGGACATCCCTGCGCCATGTGGCGTGCCTGGCGCTGCTTTTGGCCTGGGAGCTTTTCCTCGCTGGGTAAGGCCTCTGAAGCTAGAAGACGCGAACCATGTCAACCGTGTCTCTCCCCAATCACGGCTGAGAGAATGTTCGGTGCTTCCACCCACCGGCTATTGGCGCGAGAGTTTCTGCGAGATTTCGGTTCCCGGATTGGCCAATTGGGGTTTTTCGCCTGACGTCGCTGAAACTAGGGCCCCCTGCAGTCTCTACTGGTTGGCTGGGTTTAGATGGGACGATGCTTGTGGGTTCTCTGGGGTCGAACTGTTGCAGCAGCTGTTGGTTGGTGCCGCCGGTTTTTTCCTGGCAGCTCCCCTCCCCTTTCCTGTAACCTGTTTATTCGTCCAAGGCGTTGAGATCTGACAGATCGACCGGCCTACTTTGTTTTTGGGGGCCGGCTTCTTTTCTTAGTTCGTACGTTGATGCAGGTGCCTGTCATCGCGATTTACCCAAGACATCTGTGCCCCCCGTGAGGTATCGAGTATCTCCGCAGCTACATCGAGGAATATGCAGAAACAAACAGATTTGGCCCGAACAATTCAAGCGATTGGTCCGTACGGATAAGTAGGCGCGACGTTGAGAGTTCAATAGCGGTTGGGGCTGGCGAGCTTGAGTGCCGTCCTCCGACGCAAGCCCCAGACTGTTGAAGTTCCATGTCGTTGAAAGTTTAAAGAAGCCTCCGGCAAGTCACGAGGGGTAAATCATTGTTTAGACACGACTCGGTCGCACCGATAAGATCATACGGCCCTGGGCATCATCGTGGGATTACCTTGGGCATCACTGCTTTCTTTTTCCCCACGGGGCTTTCCCCCCTTAATCTAGGTCTGATCGGGGAGACTTGCTCAAGAATGAAGCGAGGCAGAAGTTTGTGATGCCAGATAGAACTCCCCTTTCCCACCGGTTATGTGCACCCGTCTCGTCATTCATCATTCATGTTTGCTGCAGCATCTCTCTTCCCCGCACTCGGCCTTGATCCTCCGCGCCCAGGCTAGCCAACCCCGCGCCGGTGCCAAGCTTCGGTTCCGTTCATCGTCTCCTTGCTAGTTCCGGCCCTGTCTTTGGTGTTTGCCGCCGCCAAGTGGGCAGTCGCTCGTGTTGGTGCCTGTAGTAGCGCTTAAACTGTTGCTGGCCTCAAGTCATATGACATGATGTTTGCCGACGAATCGCGCCATGGGCGGTTGGTATCGCTGTTTGTCTGATGTTCAGAGACATGCTTGCGTCAACGGTCACGATGAATGCCGGGCTTTCTCGAAGTGTTACACCTAACTGGCTGCAGAATCTCTCTGAAAACTTCCGAGACCCACGTGCCGTCCACCGTGGATTCTGCGCCTCCGCTTCGGAGGAGACCACCAGGTGGAGGCGGTCTCGGGAACCGGCTTTAGACCGGCTGATCGACGAGCATGGAAGGCAAGCCACATACTCGGATCTGGTCTGCGTCAAATTGAACTGCTTAGTCATTGATGGCGTTGAGTCTGCTCGCCAATTGTTATCGCCAGATGTTTCTTCGGCCGGGGACACGATGGTGGCCCTGGGCTCAACAACCATTCCACCAAGCCGGCGACCGGTTGTTAATCACATGTCGAATCTTGTGAGCTCAAATGTAATCCGTGGAGCTGTGATCTCCGTGATACCCCAAATGCATCGGTGATCTTGATTAGATCGTTGCTTCGTACAACGTAAGCACTCAAATTGCTCGACGAATCACCCATCAACTTGCCAACTGCACAATGAACGACATATCAACCTATGGATGATTCTTTCTTGTGCTGCTGATTATCCTACATGTTCATCCAACACTTCTCAGGCTCAAACCCTCAGATTTCTTGGATGAACAGGGGGCAGGTCTTTGGCACATTCGGTTGAGTCAGGTTGCGCACATGAGATGAATGTGTTAACTCGCTCTGCGAAAGCTTTGCAGAAAAGACCATAATATTCCTCCAACTTTCCTACCGTGTTTATCGCGTGGATATGAACAAATCTCAATTGGGTACTCTCGAATATTGTTCCCTTCGTATTCGGATTCACTCAGCCGGTCAAGGGCGCACTCCTAATTCCGAGGCCGTTCCCACTTCAGGTTAAGAAAACCGGGTCCAGAGTCAATGACCAAAAGCTCAACGAGCACAATTGAGCAATCTCGCGGACTATTCTCTGAGAGCAACCTTGGAAGGATTGTGTGAGGTTGCCTCGCGTTTACGATGCCGGACCTTAGAGCAGTCGCGGCGATGGATTTCATCATTTCCAATATCCACTTTCCTTCCGTTTTTGAGAAACAAGCCAATCACATTGTGCTAGATGAGGGTCTAAATGCTGCGCTGCTGTGATTTGAGAGCGCATTCGTATTCGGATACAGCACTCATGGCTGGTTTCTTTATCGTTATCACGTATTCGTTCCGCCTACTTGGCTGTCAACCATCGATGATATGGTCTGTTGAAAGGAGAGTGAGGTGCTATCGAAGCAGTCATAAAAGAAAACAATCATCTCTCCAAAATGCTTGAGCATGATCTGACATAGTAACCCTCAGAATCACGTTTGTCACTCTGCCGACTCCTTAGACTTTCTGCGCATCTTTCACAACACCAACTCCATTTCCCTGCAACATGGTGGAACGATCAGAACTGGGCCAAGTGCTTCTTGCTAGAGATGCTTCTTTTGAGCAGATTCTTCACAAAGGAACGTCGAAAGGCAACGTTGGCATGTCAGCAATGTTGAAAAAGGACCACGAAGCTCAGAAGGCGGCGACGGAAGACTACTTCAGGCATTGGGACAACAAGCTCAACGCTCAGAAGGAGACCAAAGAGGATAGAGAGGTAAGTTGAACAAGTAAACCGCCGTGCAGAACTCTGCCTCTGACTCGCGTCTCTCCAGGCTCGAGCCGCAGAGTATGATTCGCTCACCAGGCAGTAAGTCGCTTCCGTACCTCTTCTCGATATTCGGACATATTCTGAACATGAACCCATCAGATATTACAATTTGGTCACCGATTTCTACGAGTATGGCTTTGGCCAATGCTTTCACTTCTGCAGACCTGCTATTGCCGAAAGCTTCAAGCAGGGCATTGCCAGGCACGAGCACTATCTCGCGCACATGATCAACATCAAGAAGGGAATGAAGGTACTGGACGTTGGCTGCGGTGTTGGTGGCCCAGCCCGCGAGATTGCCAAGTTCACGGGGGCATATATCACTGGGCTCAACATCAACGAGTACCAGGTGGAGAGGGCCGCGCGGTATACAAAGAAAGAGCGCATGGATAAGAACGTGCAATTCGTCCAGGCCGACTTCATGGTAAAGTCAACCTTGTTCAAGAATATCTTCCACACGACTTTTCTAATGCCAATGATTCAGAACATCCCCTTCGAGGACAACACTTTCGACGCCGTCTATGCCATCGAAGCCACGGTCCACGCCCCATCCCTCCAAGCCGTCTACTCAGAGATCCACCGCGTCCTCAAGCCCGGGGGCGTTTTCGGCGTCTACGAATGGGCCATGACCGAGTCCTACGACAACGATAATCTCTCCCACCGCAAGACGCGTATCGAGATCGAGCAGGGCAACGGCATCGCCAATATGGTGAAGGCGTCCGAGGCTCTGCGCGCCTTCGAGGCCGCTGGCTTCGAGATTCTTGAGAATGAAGACATGGCGGATAGACCGGACCCAAGCCCGTGGTACTGGCCACTCGACGCCGGAAGCTGGCGGCATGCCCAGACGATTGGAGATCTGCTGTACACGTTCCGCATGACGGGGTTGGGAAGGATTGCAACGCATGGGTTTCTGAGTGTCATGGAGACGTTGAGATTCGCGCCGCCTGGGATGACGAAGACGTCAGACAGTTTGATCCGTGCAGCGGATGCGTTGGTTTTTGGCGGAAGGGAGAAGATCTTTTCGCCGATGTATCTGATGGTTGGGCGGAAGTCGGACAAGACGGAGTGATAACATTCACCTTTATACTCTCTGCAAACACAGTTGCGAAAGGGCAAGGATAGACAACGCAGGTAGTACTAATAATTCGTATGTAATTGGGACAGAACTTTATACTCGCCGCCTGGGTGTCAGCCATAGGCCCGGGACTTCCACAAGTTTCACCACGAGTTCAGCAACGAGCCAAAAAAGGCTTCAAATGGACCACAGAAGCAAAAGATTGGACGAACAGGGAATCGAACCCTGGACCACTCACATGCTAAGCGAGTATTATACCACTAAACCATTCGCCCAAGGGTTGATTTCGCCCGGACTTGAACCGGAGACCTTCAGTGGAACACTGGGATCTGTCGAGGTGACGATCCAGAATGTTAGACTGACGTGATAACCAACTACACCACGAAACCATCTGCGATTGTTGAAGAATTCCCTTGCCGGGGGGTTCATGATGCGAGCCCTTGGTGTGGTCTGTGGATCTTGTGAATTAGAGGCTCCGGTTGGACGCCTTCGTTAGGGCTAACGGAACCGCGCCCCGTTTGGAGGTCCACAATACCTGCATAAGGAAGGGTTCAAGGGTTCAGATCCACTGAAGTAACACTGAAAGCTTCGGCATGTGGAATCATGGATTTGAAGGTGATGAAGAAAGTCGGGACCCTGGTTGCTTTCGTGCCGAATGATGAACTTTTGGCGTGCAGGCAACACATTTACATAGAGATTGTATGTATACAAACTGAGTTGTCTGTAAAAATTCCTTCAACATGTTTATTCAAGGGTGACAAAACCTTCGACTGGGTATTCCTATATGCCTGCGTTGGTGTGTAATTCTGCCTCATCTAACTAAGGCAGGCTTGCTCTGTTTAGTCAGCCTTAATCACTCACTTATGATCACAAAATATTCTAACCATCTGTAGCCGAAGATTTCTTTTAGGTTCAAATGCTGAAAGCAAGCTAAAGGACTCCATACTCAAGGCTGTAACAGCTAGTGTACCCAAAAAGCTGGCCGTAGAGTTACCTCTGTTGATGTCTTTCGCTTTGGTATGGGGTACGGTTTTAGTCCAGAGTCCCTTGAAGAAGCAGATGTCGGTTCCCGGGAACAGTATGTCAAATTTTTTGAAGAATCATTATTCCCTTCAGTATTCAAACAACCTGCTCTATTGCTTCGAGCATGATACGCTAATCATCGAATCCTTGAAAGTGTGTGCGAATAGGCGACACCTGAAAGTTGACAGATATGAACAGCCATTTACGGACTGCTGGATTATTTCGACTGGGAAGATTTGACAAAGTTGTGTTCTACAAATATCGCTTATAATTTTGCACCAGACCGGGACATCACCTAAAACAGTTCTTCAGATGACGCCCCATTTTAAGATTTCTCTTTCAAATACATAGTACAAGAGTATAATATGTTACATTATGAGTACGACTGTCTGTGTGATTACATCATCCTATTTCCTGTTGAGGGCGGGATCAGTCCAGTGTTCAAACCCACCAAGCTCAAGACCTTATGACATACCCTTTCATTTCTTTTCGTCGGCCCTTGGCGCCGCAGATTTGTCCACGATCGTGACATTCAAGTGCAGTTGATCCTTCAACGATATACTTGATACCGTGATGTGATAATTCAGAGTATTGGGATATGTGTAGCCAACAGCGGGATCGTTTGATGGGAACATCCAAGGCGAATTTGTGGTGCCGTCGTTGTGCTTCGTCTTGTAGTGTGACTGGATGGGTTTAAAGAACCCTCTTTCAGGCGACTCGATGCCGACGCAGAATGACTGCAGTGCCTCCATATCCTGCCAACAGAGTGCCACGTCATCTTGCCCACTCTTGCCGAAATAGCACCCCTTGTTCCATGACATGACTTGTTCGCCGTTTTTCATCTCGAGCGTATTGCTGGTGATATCTTGTCTCATCTTTACATCTGGCGCGGTCGGGTATGTGTGTTCGAGTAGTGTAAAATTTACCGACGCGAGATTCGCGAAGGTGATTGAATGATCCGGGTTGATCATTTTGACGCCTGGCGGATAGTAATGCATGAGGTGACGAAGGGAGGGTTTTTCGACTCGAAAGGGTTTTATGGGGGCGTCGTCTCGGCACGTCTTCGCTCGGCTCGCTCGGCGAAAGGACGAATCCAAACAATTGTCTGGGGAAATTCCTCGTGAACAAGGCAGAGACATGCGGCCGACTTTGTTAACTTTTGAGGCGCCTCCACGGAACTGGTTCTCCGCCCGTAATTGGAATTGCTTGGAGTAGAAGACCGCTTCCGGCGGAACCAGACCCCTAGCGGCGGTCAGTGACGTTCGTGTGGCTTGTCCTTGCGTTGTTCCCGATGGCTCGATCCATGTTGGATCCGATGACCCGGATGCCCGATGCGGCCATAATGTCTTGGTTGTCCGAATGCAGTCCGGCAATTATTCATACTGAATGAGTGGATGGGGCAGGGAGTGGCTGGTTCACCGTGGCTCATTGGAATGTTGATGTCCGTGATGTTGTAGATATCTCTGTTTCCAGAATTTCTCGTTGAGAAAAAGGTTTATGTAGCAACATTGCGGTGCATAGGTTCAGAAAGCACATTGTCTTCAATCCTTTGCGTATGTATAGTTTGCCACTCATGATGCCTGTCGATTGTGAAGCACCATGAAGTCAGGATCATGACCAGCAACATGCTTTCTTTCAGGGACTGAGACATCATAATGGTCTTTTCCGCCTTTGGCAATGTCTTATAAGGACAACACCGCCACGAGAAGTCTCGAATCCGAACGAACGGTGACTTGTCTTGGTCACGGGTGCCCATTTAAGCTCAGTGATTGTAACGCTAGACGTTATTTCCATAGGATTAGGCCATCTTCTGTCTAGTGAGCTCGGGATCTTCTACATTGAGGCTCAACCAGAGGAAAAGATACGGACACGGCTTTGAAAACTGCAGAGTAGATAGTCCACCGGTGAAGAGGCGCGCCAAAAGGCGATTGCAAGCATAAATAAGCTCAAGGGGAATGATGATGCTTCATTATGAGAAGCAGTAATGTGTACGGTGAAAATGGTATCGATGCGCCGCCCGATACGCTTGCTATGGGAATATCAGGTTTCCAGGCATGTCCCAAGCTCCGATAGTAAATCCTCAGCTGTAATGTCTATACCACCAGCCATCTTGTCTTCGATACCGAAGGCCAGGAAAAGAGTGTCGTCCATGTATCCCTGATACCTTTGTCCCTTTGTCTTCCAGCTCATGGACGTGACATAAAACATGTCAGATGCCCCAGTGTCCTTCTTCTCCCGGCCGTGAATCCATATGGGCTTCTTCGAGACAGCGAAGACTTCAAAGGGCGCTTTTCGCCGGAAAACCATGACATACGGTTCATACTCGCTGTGGAAGTGATAGAAGGTCTTGTGCTGGAAGATCGTGAAGATGAATGTGTTGTCGCTGGTAGGTTTGCAATTAACGTCCATCCGTTTGCAGAACGTAATGCTCAAGGAGTTGGTCGCCTGATGAATGGATTCCAAATCTGGCGGCAGCTTCGGCATGTATCTCTCCAAACATGCCTCATCTCCGGGGGCTAGAGGTGCCAGGTCCGGCCCCACAGAACCGTCGAGGTTGAGCTTCGAGAACACTCTCTTTGGCGCCACATCGTGGTGCACGTACACGCCACCATCCTCGTCCCAGAATGGGAACCAGTTCTTCTCCATGGTCCCCCAAGGCGGTGGGCGCTGTAGCTCGATGCCGGTGCTGAAGCCCTGATCCAATGACATCTGGAAGCCCCAATTGCCTAGCGTCCGGAAATCTTGCATGAATTGCCCGAAGCAGCAGTAGAGCGAGTTGGAGCCGAAGGTAATGAATGGTGCCTTCGGACCGTGGAAGACACGAGCATCGTGAGGCCCAATGTTCATGGCGATGTAGGCCAGTTTGGGGGGACATTTGTCATCACCACTCTTGGTGGCAGCGATTGGAAGCGTCATTGGTGTCTCTACGCAGGAGAGACCTTCCATGGTGAAGACAGCATTACAGACGAGCTCGAAATGTTCTGCTGTGTTGTCATCGTGCGTCTTGCGCCTCTGCGCGACAATGATGTATGTGTTATCGAGAGTGGGATGGGGCAAGATGTTGGGGTTCATGGCATCTTCGTCGCCGAAGTGTATGGGAAAGAACCTCTTGTCGAAGGTAGATATTGAGAATACCTCATGATGTGTCCGCTCCGTGGCAATCGGGATAGAGTCCGCAGGCGGGGTGGGTGGTAGAACCGTAGGAGGGACCGCGATGGGGGGCTCTCTGTCCTCCGGAGCGGGTGGATGTGCGGCAGCCGACGGGGCCGGCCGGGAGTGAGGTTTGAGCTCATCGGCTTGCCTCCAATTCGGCGCAAAGATATGATCGAACCAGGTGTTAAACCCTGATGAAGAGTCCCTAAAGTCGAGACATCGAATGCCAATGTAGACAAGGAAGAGAAAGGGCCCAACAATGAGGACGACGCGCTTGAAGTCGCGAGCTAGCATCGCGAGGGGCTGTCCGCTCACGACGAGGGTCGGATGCTCATTTGGCTATGGCTTGCAGCATTCGGGGTGCTCGGGTTGCAGCGCGTCAATTGCAATCGAGTAGCTTCCTGTTGCTGATTCTAGTTCTTCGACTCAAGCTTGACTGCGTGGTACGCACAGAGAAGAAGGTTCCCGGGTCTACGGCACAAGTGTTGCTGTGTCTCTCCACAATTTTTGTTGTGTCCCAGTTTCTTCCCCGCGGTTCATGATTGCATCACAGAACAAGAGCTCCAAGGAATGTGGGGGACGGGGATACAAGGACTTTGTGATTAAGCTAGTGGGAAAAAGACGGGGAAGTTCTTGGGGAGAGGTGTGCCGCGTGATGTAGATCGGCGGACAAGCAAAAAATGAATACGACCTTGGACGTTGGGGTTTCCCCTCACTTGAGAGCTTGTATCCCCTGTTGGTCCACCCCCAACCACCCACTTTGCTAGCACGGGAGGGTCAGGTAACATGGCGAACTGGACGAGCGGAAACTCTGTACGCTGATGGAGGTGTTCCTGAGATAAGCGTCCCGAATTGAAGCAGTGATTCGCTCAAGTCCTGCAAGCAGCTCGCTGCTTCAAGCATGTGAGCATGCGAGAGCCTCGGTGAACAGCAAAATGCCCCTGGTCAAGTGCATTCAGTCCCCCTCACGAACATCCCACACCATTACCCAAAATAGGAATCCATCCGTCCTTGCAGCGTCATTGGGTGTGATACGGCTGCACGTCGATGGAAGGCTGCACATGCGGGAAATTAAGGTGTGCAGCTCAAGCAAAAGAGCTGTCTGCCTGTCAAAGAACTTTGGGTTGGCGGAATGCTCAGCCCAACATCAGAAAAGGATTATCGAGGCGAGACTTTCACCGCGAAGCGGTCTCGGAGGCGTCAGCACTTGTTCAGCCCATCGGCCCGTGTGGCGAGCACGGTGTGCCTGCACATTGGACGCCTTAGAGTTCGACTAGAAGGCGGGATTCACTCGATGATTTGGAGTGCGACCAATCCAATTATCCAATGACGTTACGCTCTACCAAGCTAGGAGCGGCTGCGCCCAGGCGACCTTTAGTTTCGAGACGATTAAGTCCAATAATAGCGGGCAAGTGGATTGATTGGTGTACACTGATCATTAACTATTTCCTAAATGCCGGTGTCCGTTGTTGTCTCGGCCTCTCCGATCAACTAGCTAGTAAAACATGTGCCATAACGCCGGAATTCGAACCGTTCGATCAAGCCTTGGTTGATGGTGTTGGTGCTGGAAGAGTTTTCTTGTACAGCCACTGCGCGAACTTGACGCTTGGCTCATCGATCAGCCTCGTCACCATCTCTGCCAACCACAAGGTAAGCGGGAGAAGGATCAGATGTGGTAGCACGAAGGCCGGCTCCAACCCGAGCGGCCCAGCCATGGGAAGCGGAAATTTGTCGACCAGATGCGCGAGGTGTCGCCTCTCGGAGTCCTTGTGCCAACCCACAGCAGTGTAGATTCGGTCGCCCAGTGTTCCAAGGACAGGTCCGTGAACGAGGTAAAGAGCGAAAGAGATGCGGCCGAGATACTGGCAAAATCGTGTCTCGAAGAAGCGCCGCAGCCACCAAATGCGAGGGACGCAGGCGACTAGCAATGTTGCCGCCCAGAATAGGTAAAACCACTTGTAGTCGAAGACAGCCTGTGGCTTCAACAGGGACAGATAGTACCATCCGCGATTTTCGCGCATTCTGTTGACATCGCCGGTGTATGACGGTACTCCTCCGAGGTACATCGAAATGACGAATAAGTGATAGTAGATGAACGTCTTTGCTCCCTTCAGCTTGTCAAAGATTGCGGGTAGGTCATCCTTCTTTGCCAGCAAGTCGAGGTCGCAAAGCATCATGCCCGCGACGAACATAGCTCCGTACCACCCGTCGGCGATGTACATGAAGTAGAAAGCCAGGCCAGCTTCGCACCATAGTCTTGCGTTTCTGGTACAACGCGAAAACGCGAGCAGCGCGGTGTAAATGATGACGGACCCCTTCATCTCGACTGGTATAGACCAGAGGTGAGGGTTCCAACTGAAGAAAGGGCCGCCACCAGCCGTGAACACGAAACTGAAGTTCTTTGCCTCGCAGTACCATGCCCAGACATCCTCTCTCCAGGTTGACATCCGGTCAATGTTGTCGACCCAGATGTCGAACATGTGGAGAAAGCTCATGAAAATGAACGTCGTGGCCAATAGGGGAAGATAGAGCCGAAGCCATCTTCTGAAGAGGGCTGAGCCAACATTTTCAGCAAGCTTTGCGTGGTCTCCAGCTTGGATGAGACTGAGAGGCTTTGCGGACAGCACGTAGCCCGAAATGACGAAGAAAACGGACACCGAGAAGTGGCCGCCGGTGAAGAAGTGCCTAATTCCGGGGAAGGCGATGAAGTGGAACTTGTTCTCATAACCAAAGGCGTTCTCGAAGATGCGATTCTGAACGTGTGGCTCGTGAGCCCATAGTTGGTTGTGATGGATATAAACCAGGAAGGCAGCGAAGC